GCAGCCTGCAGAGAAGCAGAGCAGCAGGAGATGCAGGCAGCCAGCATCCCCATGGGGCTCCCTGAAGTGTCCCAAACTAGAAAACTGGCCACCTCCCCACTCCTGCCTCCTGCAACATAATTATTCCAGCATGACCGACGTGACAAATTAACAAGGCAGCCAGGGCTTTTGCAGTAGAAGGGAGTGTTTTCCCCAAGAATAAATTGTTCCAATCCTTTATGCTAGACACCCAGCTGTGCCTATTCATTAATTGGACAAGCTCTGGTGGCAACTGAAATTATCCAACTTCTACATACAGGAGGAGAGGGAGATCTTTGTAAGTTAAAATAAGAAGCCTAAAGCTGGCATCCCAGCCACCAAGGAGTTCTTTGAATGGGGCTATTTATATTTTTTAAATTCATTTTCAGAGCACAGCCACAGTTAAGCTCCTTTTAAAAAGCAGAGGCATGTTCTTCAGTGTTATTCCTCCCTTTGCAGATCCTGAACCGTGGCACCAGAACATGACAGCTCCGCCAGTGAATCGTAAACCTTGTAAGATCTACAGATCAGCCAAGTTCAGGAACTTCAGGAGCTACAAAATTCTGGGTTTGCTGCAGTGTTGCAATTAACTATCACTATCAGGTACGTTAGGAATCACAAGCTTCTGCTTAATCACTACACTCTGGTTATTTATTACAACCAATGTATCGTAATGACTACACAGGTATTGGAATGGGGGGGGAATTGATGTTTGTTGATTTCTGTCACGACCCACTCACATCGCTCACATATCTCAACTCCTGTTTTGATCTGGGTTTACCTGTACCTCTTGCCCCTAGGAAGGGGAAGCCTGGGAAGCTCATGGTATTTCCCCCCCAGCTCCCCCCTGCCCTTTCTGGGCTAGCTGCGTACCTGAAATGCAGACGATGAAATTCGCTTGCAGAAGAAAAAGCACCTCCCAAACAATTTCCATCCTCCGATTCTCATGCCAAGTGCATCCCTCAGCGAAAAAAAATAACAAAGATCAATATCGCAGTTTGAACGATCCCAGCAAATTTCCTTTCGGACTTGCAGACTGTATTCCCCAGATGTGCTGACAACACATGTCCGAGCTCTCTCTCTGCACGGCTCAGGCGAGATCCCTTCCTTTCCTTTGCCCTCCAAAAAACACCACGAAGCCAACTGCCAGCACCGGGCTCTTCCTCCACAAGCGAGAAAAAAATCCACCAGGTTTCCCAACACGACATAGACCACAAACCCCAACCGATCCGGTCCGGAGAGTCTCTATTCCAGGGCGCCCAGGTCCAAGTTACCCCCGAACTCCGCACGTCTCAGCGGGGCAGTGCCAGCAGGCCTGGAGAAGAGGAGGGCGGGATGGATGGATAGAAGGGGGGGCTCCTCTCCTGCTGCTACAGAATGAGCGGAAAGAGATTAATGCCCGCGCTGCACCGCACCGCACCCCGCCCGCCCCCGCGGCGCGGCGCACGCAGCACCGGCTCCCCCCAACCCCGCCGGGGGCTCTGCCGGCCCCGCCAGCCGCGGCGGTTTCCGGTACGCGACTGCAGGGGTCGTGCTTGCCCCACGCACGGAGCCGCCCTGCCCCGGCCGGGATGGCCCCGCAGCGCCGCGGGCACGGCTCCGCGGGAACGGCCCCGGGGGTTGCGGTACATCGGTACATCATCGGTACAGCGGCGGTCGCGTCCCCCAGCATCCCAAGTGCCGGAGCCCGCAAGCAGCGGGGCATCGCGTGCGTGGCCGGCTCCGCTGAGAATACCAGTATTGAAAAAAAACTTGTTTAAACAAGAAGAAAAACAGCCCCAAAGTTCTCGCGGGGGCGGTGGTGTGAAGGGCAGCGAGGGTATACAGCGCGGAGTTGGCGAAGTACTTGCGCTGCAATGCCAGCTACCGGCATTCCCCAATCCACGGCACTTCTGCAGAGACACCCCCAAGGAAGAAAAAAAAAAAAAAAAAATGGAAAAAAAAAAAGCCGTGTCGGTGCCAGTTTTGGGGCTATCTCTTACTCACCCCAAATCCTCCTGCTGTGGATTTTCCTCAGCTCATGGGATCAGCCCGCAGTCCCAAACCAATCGAGGTCACGCTCCGAGCCGCTCAGCTGTGAGGAGGTGCCATAGCGCTGCCCCCTCCTCCCCAATCCCGGCTACTTCGCCATTTCCCGAGCAGGGGTCGGTGCTGCGGGCGGCAGCGCGGGGCTCGGCGCGGCGGCGCGCACGGACGCGGGATCGCGCGCGGAGGCGGGTCCTGGGCGGGCGGCGGCGGGGCCGCACCGCGGCGGGGGAGCTGCGGCTGGGACCGGGTGGAGGGAGCCGGGAGAGGGAGGAGAGGAAAACCCAGGCGGGCGTCTTGGCTGTATCTGCTCAGGCACATTCCGGAGCTGGGCTCACTTTGTTTAAAATGTGGATCCAATTTTATTATTCTTTTCCCTCCCAAAAACGCGGGCACCGGGCGCGGGAGAGGCCGGGGTGCCCTTTTCGCGGAAAGAGAAACGGGGCGCAGAAAGGCAGCGCCGGCGGACTGAGGGGTTGGCCAGGCTGTAGCACCCTGCGGGGTGGCCTGGTCTGCCACGAAGGAAGGGAGGGGGCAGGGGTTTCGGGCTGCAGACAGAAATCCCTGCTCAGGGCAGGTGTGAAGAGGTGATCATGCAACTGCGGATGCCTTCATTGATCACCGTGAGGCAAGGGAAGGGGGAGGGAGGGAGATGCTCCGGGTTCCAAACGGACACCCAGCTCCTGGCAGGTATGCAGAGGTCGTATAACGAATACTTCAGCGGGGGATGCATGCATAATAGATTGAACATAGGTTGGTTTATAAGCAGTTCTCCCGCCCAGGGCATACTTCTAAAACACACTTTTGTCTGTATTCTAGCAAAATGAGAACTCCTGGATCTCTGAATTGGGAAGGAGGGCATCTATAAGAGAAGAAACCACAGGCTAGGTTGTTGTTTTCATCAGCTCGGAGAAATGTGTGGGAGTCATAGGTTTCAAGTCATCCTGATGGCATTTAATTGTAGTAGATCAGATTCTTGAGTGCTTCAAAGCAACTGGACAGGACTAAAATCACCACTATATGAAAGGAAGAATTGGGCTGCAGGCACTTTGTCAATGTGATTCTTGTATTCATTTTGCTAGTTCTCAGGGTAGCGTAAGTGCTCTTTGCACTGCAGCAGTCTCTACTGATGTTTACTGCATCTCATGAGTTATAAAGACACTCAGGATTTTAACAAACTAATTGCCATCATCTGCCCAGTGAGAACAGGGAGGCTGGACCTGAGGCACAGCTATAAAAGGCTTTAGGGACAAATGACTTAACTTAAAGAATTTTTTTTCTTTTTTTAATGGATTTTCATCAAACAGAGGAACTGTGCAGCAGAAGGGATTTCTTTCCTTGATAGGATTGCAGAATGCTTAGTGTCATTTGAATGCTTAGGCAATTGAGAATTATCCCTCTTGGCAAAATGAAATGCATAGAATTTAGGGAACTAGGGCAGCCTGGGGGTGAGCAGGCATTCCTCAGGTATATGATATATGTGCCATGATACAGATATGTCTTTGGGTGCTGAATGAGTTGTGCAGAAGCACCAAACTCGTATAGGTGTTTAAAGATGCTGAAATACAATTTGCATCTGGTTCTTGAAAAGTTAATGAAATAAGGACTGCAAAGAGTCCTTCTAAGTCATTCCTTTAGGGAATGTTATCAAATGAAGACTCAGATCAACACAAGACACAGTTATTATTGAACTCAAGACCTTGTGTGTTGAGTGTTCTGCGTTTTCACTCATGCAAAATAGCATATGAAATTATCTTCTTATTCCTTTTTAAAATCCAGGTTAATATCCCTTACTCTGGTATTAGAAAAGCCATAAGTGGCATCATCTGTCTGTATTCTAGATGTATTTAAGCACGCTTTAGCAAATGCATTTCAGCAAATGTTTCTACTGATATTTACTAAACTCGTTTACTCAAACAGTTAAACTTTTTCCATGGGTTTGACTGTAAATTCTCTTTTGGGCTTTCCCAACTAATTCCTTACAATACCATCCCAATCCAGAACATAAACCCTTACAGTGACCTTAGCTGTTATATTTACACAGACATCCCTGTTCCTAAACTAGTCTCCTTGAAATTGTGTCATTACATGTGGGGAAATAAATGTCTCAAGGAAGGGAGATGACCTGTCATAAAAGGATATGTTGTCCATTATGTCAGCAAAGAATTGGTGACGAGAGAATGCCAAACACTAAGCAGCAAGCTCAGGTTTAATTCCTGTTGATGTCAGTGGAACCTTAATAAGAGAGCAATGGCAGGAAAAGAAATCAGGTAGTTGATGTTGGCTGCTGGCAGATAGGCAAAAGTAACAAATAATTTTCTGCATCTTTTAGTATGGTATGTTTATCATCTTCATGCAAACCTTATATTTATTTCAGTGATAAATAAGAAGTTTGTGACTCAGACTGAAAAATCTTTCAAGCAAAGTTTTCTTCATCTAGAAAATAGAGTAACGGGCTCAAAACCATGCATTTTTTTTAACTCTAGATAAATAATAATGAGTTTGTTCTGCTGTCATTTACTTGCTGAGATGTTATTTGACTGGCAGTGGCCTTAAAGCTTGGTTTTGAAGTCATTATGGCCATATTGGCTGCTGCAGCTCCACAGGAAAGCTTAGGTCAATAAAGTTGAATGGATGTCAATATGGCCTATTCCAAAGCCCATGGAAATCAATTGGAATATTTCTGCAGACTCAGTTAGTTTTAGGTCGGGCTTTTACTGCAGAATTTAGCACAGTATGTTTGATCCCAAGGGAAACTGTTTAATATAGTAGTGTGTATTTGGGGTAGAAGCAGAATATAACTCTCCTGTACTTGTTGGTACATTCTAACCAGGCAAAAATGCTGGCTGCAGCATCAGGTTCTTATTGTATGAGCTTCCATTCAAAACTCCTCTGTAACTCACTAAAATGAAGAGGACTGATATTTCTGCAGTTACTTGAGTGTCATTCATTTTTATACAGTTGGCTAAACTTAAACTTGCCAACCTTTAAGCTGCTCTGAAGTCACTGGACTACTCATGTGCCTGGAGGTAAAAATGACTGCAAAGTGGTTTTAAACAGGTGTCTGAAGCATGTTTGTATTTTTTTAATTGTGAGGATTTGACTATCTAGACGCTGCAGCTGGGATTTCTGACAGACTTTGAGAGTACCTAACATATTCATTACAAGCTGGACACCTAGTTTCTTCAGGCCAGATTTACAGAGAAAGACTTTTTGGTTTAGTTATGAGAACAGAGTTCAAAAATACTCACAAAATGCACATGCTTCACGGTTTTTATACCAACAGAACACATTCCAGTTTAGTAAAGCAGAATTAAGCTTTGTACCTTCTCAGAGAAGGAGCCAGCCTTTTGACTCATTTGACTCAAAATTAGCTTGGATGAGAAAACATCAGCTTGTTTTGAACTGGGCAACTTCTGAGCAGAACTGGTTGAACTGTGTCTTACCATATGTCGACAGAAGAGGTTGCTAGCATTCGTCACCACGACACTGCAGAAGATTCACAGTGACCTGGTTCAGCAGCTTACCTGTGCACTCCCTAGCTCATTTCTGTTGAAGTAAGCCAGATCAGCAGAGGCCTGCTATTGAAGTTGTCTGAAGCTTCTGACATGTTTCCAGCAATTAAGCTGGCAGAGTGGGAATAGTTCCTGCTCTTGCTTGTTCTCCCCTTGCCCCAGGGGCTGCTAGCCCTGTGGCAGGGATGGTGGCAGAACTGGTGAGTCAGCTTTGGAATTGCCACTGGGAACAGCCTAGGATGTAAGCATGAACCAAAATCAATTTTATATCAAAATCAAAGAAAGGGTCAATGCTGCAGTTCACTCAGGTGGAAGAAAACTCAAGGGTCTCAAAATCCAAATGGGGATTCGAAGATCTTTCAAAAGCAGCATCCTATTAGTGTCCAGCACAGGGAACTTAATCAGTCTGTTTACCAGAACTGGACTTGAACCATTAATGAGATGAAAGTTGGTTGGAATAAATTATCACAGTGACAGCATTGAACCTTGCTGTTGTTAACCACATAAACTCAAAACTGTTACTCCTTGTCTCAAGTTTATTCTATATTTGCGCTTACATTCAGGGTGGGACTTGCACTAGTAGTTCTGTAGTGTGATTAACTGCATTGTCTGTAGAAGACGGAAAGGGCTTTTGTGATTAGACTGTACATTTGAATGCAAGTTCCAAGTAACTTCATATGAGGCAGTAACATGTCATAACAAAATGCAAAAACCTGCCAGAAGAATATTGTGCATCCCATGCAGACATTTGAAGCTATGATAAAGAATTACGTACATATTTCTTTTCTATAAAGAAATAATATAAAATTTCTTTTAAAATAAGTAGTGAAAATTTGTCTGCACAAACCTTTAGTATGTCTTTATTTCCTGTATGAGGAACCATAATCTCAGGGAATAAGTATGGATTAGTGAAGAGTTTATAGTTGTGTTTGTGCCAACATTGACTATGTGGCTTCTGACAAGCTGCCTGTATCTCATTATCTTGCATATATAAAACGGGCTACAATTCCACAAGGAATTCAGTAAGGCCAGGTTAACAATTTACAGTAAGAAAGGCAATGTTGACTTTTGCCACTTTGACAGTAAGAATAGCTTAGAGGTGCCCCAGCTCCTTTGGGGCTATGCAACACCACTGGGCCAGCAAGTGGGGAACAAGTGGCAGGACCTGGCCAGCTTCAGTCTTCCCTTGCTCAGCTCTGTTGGTGCTTGAGGCATGCTGCGCTGCTGGTCCAAGGTGAACAAAGGAGGACAGGGCTCAAAGGCTCTGCTTTAGCGTTGTTGGATTGCCATCATTGTCAGCAGTCTGCTGCCCACAACAACTCCTATTTGTCTATTTCTGAACTCAGTCCTCATAGTCATGTGTCCCATTTCAAGCACCTCTTGGTTCAGAGGTTAAGCAATTTAATATTAGACAGCCACAGGTGAGTTGCTGAGAATATAACTATAAATACTAAGCAATACTATTGCCACTTAATTTCTAGCACTCCTGTTCCATATATTGTTACTGCCACACTTTCTTGTATTTTCTGAGAATACTTTCAGTGCTTATAAATAGTGCTGACCTCACTAAGGAAGCTGATAAAAAATTTAACACATAGTTGTAAAACTATAGCCTCTAAAAATCCATCAGTGCAACAGACATTAAGGTAATTCTTTTCTATTGATGGTCTTTATCAAAACTGAAATGGAATTTACATTTTCCTGGTAGAGATAATGATGCAATTTATTTGAAGTTAAAAACACCCCCAACAAAGGAACAAGGAAAATGACTGGCAGTTAACTATTAAGTCAATCAATGTGTTTTTCCTCTGAGTCAGTCTGTTCATTATCATAAAGACTTATTTTCAGTCCAAATCCCTTTTTCATGTCTGAACTCCAGCAAACAGTGTTAAGACATCAAGTATTTGGGAAATAACATTCTTCTAATTCAAAAAGACATATGTAAACGGCAGTGATTTAGTTTTTCTGGAAGTGAGAAATTAGTCACCAAAGTGTTTAAAGCATCATGTGATCTTGAAGTTCCTCAGTAAACCTCAGTAGGTTCTCTGGGAATCTTGGCAGCTTCGCGCCCACAGAATGAGGTTTATCTGAGTAGGCATGTTGAGTGTCAAAGTCACCAGATAAAACTGACTTCAGGCAGTGCAGTGATTACAGTCCTTGTAAGATTCTTACTTCCCACAGCCAGGCAGTGTATTAGTGAGCTTGCCTGTTAAAAATAATTCAGAAGATAAAAGGACAGGATTTGTAGGGGGGTTGTTTTTGTAAAAACTGACTGCAGTGTAGTCCAAGAGTGGTGGGTGATAAGAAGGGACATTCTTTTAATCCAGCTTTTGGCTTTGACTCAAGTCAAAGGCTCTATGGACTGATGTAAGTTGTGCCAAACTCCTGGTGTTCCAGCAGGTTCATTCTGGCAACAAGGGATGTTTGGTCTGTATTGACACCTCCTCTGTGTCCCCTTTCATTTATCTGCACATTTGGCCTAACAACCACACATGGGCTGCTTAGTACACTGCTTGCAGTTGGACCTCACCCCAGAATCCATGCAAGACCATTTCTGCCACGTTCAAGGCTACTTTACTTGGTATAAGGGACAGAAAGTTACTGTCATGTACCTCAGCAAAGTCACCCTCTGTTTCTGGCTATTTCTAAAGCCACCTGCAGTAGCTTCAAAGCAGGAAAGAACTTCCTGCTTTCTGGTTTTCTGCCTCCATTCTTCTCTCTTAGGCAACGTGTATTTTTTAATACTGAAGATTCCTTGTCATCTCAACCTCAAAGAAAAGAACATTCATCTTGAAAATTATTCTCATATGGATCTTACTGGTTCCTCATTACAGATTTTGACAGCTAGTTGTCACCTGGTGCCTTTTTAATATAATTCCTCATACCACATAGGGTAATGGTGATTGCAATATCATGTTAACATTATGTATGTGTGAGTCACATTTATGCTGTAAATTTTCAGTCTATGCTGTTCTAAGAGTAGACTGAGTTGTGAAGTCAAGTTCCCACTAAGCTGTAGCAGGTATCTGCTTGCAGAGCACTTTTTCCATTGTGCTAAGATTTGCCACTATGGGATTTGGTAGGAAGGAGGTGAACTCTTGAGCAAACGTTATTTCTGTGTGACTGCCCAGTGAGAAGCACATGAACTCGTTAGAAGTTGTTCTTTCCTGAGCTTTGTGCTTGAACCTAAAGGAAGTATGTCCATGAAAAAAAAATCATATGCCCTGGCTTCTTTGCATGTGGACATTGTTTAGGTGTGTGCACATGTAGACAGCAAGGCACAATCTTGTTAAAAATGTTTGCTGTTTTTCTATATTAATGCATGAACCATTTTGCTTTTTCTTGGAAATACATTGCTGTGGTTTTGTGCAATTATGAGTAGCAATTAAGAAATGAGGAAGCACACTTAGTAAGTAGTATCATTTTTGTCTCTCTCTAGAGTTTTTGCATTTTCTGATCAAGGTTTTCTTTAAACAGATCTTTATTCTGCAAGAAAATGCCCCACTTCTCCAGTATTTCTTTTTAGGTGAAATCGGTTAATATGAGTATTCCAAAACCAGAGATTAATATGCTTTTCTTAGCATTAGATGTTGCTCCCTGCGACTTTTCACGTTGCAAATGTCCAGCCAGTTACGGGCCTGAGCTTGTTCCCATTAAAGTGAATGTGAGTTTCATCCTTTGATTTTTAACGCATTTCCTCTGGAATGAAGCCTCAATTCAGCCTTTCACCAGCTGGATAACTTTTCCCACGAGTAATTGAGCAAATGAAATTATTCATGTGCTTGAAAGAGACCATGCACTCAAGTCTTTATGGAAGAGTCTTCCAGAGGCACCATTTCCCATACAGCGCAACTGCAGTTTATAGCCAACAGATTGGAATAGCTGCAGCCTGAATGGCACTTCTTCAGCTACAGTGTGCGCTGAACTTTTGTATTAATTTGCAACAGGTCAGGAGAAAATAGTCTTCTCCGAATGCCTTCTAATTCTTCCATGTTCCAGGGCAAATTACTTGAGCCAATGCCTGGTTCTAAATTGGTTCCATCTCCCTCACTTTTCCGTGGTAAAATGGGGGTGCTCCTCACAAGGATGCAAAAATATAACAGTCTCTGCTTGCAGGAAACTCTGAAGATGAATACCAGGTAAGAAAGACGGTTACTTATAAAACCATTCATGATGGCTGATCTTCAAGTGCTATCAGCAGGTTTACGTTACCTGCAAAACTTACGCTTCGTAGTTTTCTAGAAAGAGAGTGAGGAAATTGGCATCTAACACAATTCAAAAGGATGGGAAAAAAATCCTCAAAAAGAAAATAAAGCTCTTGTGACTTTTAGAAATCTTTATAAACGCCATTTAATGTCATTTTCAAATACCTTGAAGGGATCATAAAACTTTGCCTTTCTCTGATCATTGTACCACTTAGAAGAGGAAAGGTATGAACAGCCATAACCCTGGCACATTTTTAACAATGCTCAGGACTAAAGGGGATTGTAAGATGGAAGCTTTGATAACAAAAACATAAAGATGTCATTGTCAACTATCTCAAAATATACATGGTGGTTGTAAATGTCACATAAGCCTACAGCTAAGTGATGGATCAGAATTTCCTGTGTTTTCAAAGTGCTCCTCTTGATGAATACTTTAACTCCTTCATGAACAAGTGATTTTTGTGTCCCACAATTTGCTTTCTGTCCTAGCGCTATGTATCACTAAAACAAATCCCCTCATTTAATATAAGATGCTATATAGGTTGCTATATAGGTATATAGCAAAATACTTGGAAAGTGTTTAGAAAAACATGCATAATATTGTAAATCACTTCATTAGGAATAGTGTGAAATTTTTCCTCTTCATTAAAATAATAAAAGTGGTAATAAGTGATAAAATAAACCAAGTGTTGGAGCTGTAAGGACTAAGTTGTGCCCCAGTACAAGTCTTCATTTAGCAAAGTATTTAAGCATACAACTAAAATTAAGCGTTTGATTATAAGCTGCTTGGTTCAGCTCAGCATGCGTTAGAGCACTTTGCTGAAAAAACCAAGAGCCATCAATCCACTACTCTCGTATAGTTTGCTCAGATAAATGGGCATATTTTTTGGCAAAACCATTGGAGTTTTATTGGGGTTTAGAGGTGCTTTTACTATTTTAATGCCATGTTACTGAATAGAATCAAGATAATTTCTCAGTAGAGCTGCAGGTACAAAATACATGAGCCATGTATTGCCAAAATTTATTAAGTGCATTAGGTGTTTGGAAAGAAACTTCATCACATTTAAAAATCTATAATCCCAGTAAATTAAAAGATAATTTGAAAATCACAGGCTGGTGGGGAACCCAACTCAGCTGTTAAAAATCTGTTCTACAAATTGCAAGCCATTAATAATTAGTATTACAAAACCTATTACATCTCTGATTGGGGGGAAATGGACTGAGGCTAGTATTACATTATTCAATTATATTGAATTCCATTTGGTATGTGTTTTACTTTAAGTGCAGTCTGTAAAAGGATCATGGTAGCAACTATCCAAAATGTTAATTAATTTGTGTATAAAGCAAATAGCACACATATAATTTCATATCGTGCAGCTCTATTGACTGACAGTGGAAGTGCTTAGACTCAATTAGATTTCTTTATGCATTGTACCATAGCACTACAGACAATCACTTACAAATGAGTTTATTAAAATTCCCAAATTCATATAGTGAAAAATGTGAAACTCTGTTTCTTGAATGTTTATGATGTCACCATTGCATACTTTACCTCTCCATTAAGTAAACATAAGATGTCACTAGGAGAATGTAAACCAAAGCAAAATCCTAAATCAAAGTAGTCTGTGAGTTAGCAGATCACGTCAAAAGACCTCAGGGACCAGAGTGGCCTGCTAACTGGTAAAGATCTCACTAAAAGACCTGCTCTTTTCTAGGCTTTCATTTTCTGCTAGCTAACTCAAATTACATACATTTCCAATTTATAAATATTAGTCATATCTATCTGAGCAGCTGAGAAGTTCAATATTTATTTCCCAATTTGTTGCATTTTCCACCACATTTCATTCAATCTGTTAGCACTGCAATAAATCTATCTTCACATTTATTTCCAAGTTTTTCTCCTCTGTTTCTTCTGTTTTCTGTACGCTCATTAGGAATGCCTTGACGTTACAATCTTGCCACTGTGAGGATTTCTTTCTTTTGCCACCATGAAGAAAACAGCTTCATAATGTGTATTTGTATGGTAGTATTGTTCTATGAAATACCATATAAGACATATTCTGCATTACTTGCATGTTACACAGAAATAATCCATTTTACAGCCTTGTCACAAGTCCCTTTATTGGTATAAATGTCAATGCAAAAGTAAACGTCGAGGTTAGGAAGGATGTCTTTAAGATGTTGAACAGGGAGTTCTCCTTGAAAATTCTGCCTGCAGCTGCTGCCCTGTCTGAGCTGAAGAGCTCAGACACATAAAACAAAAAGGAATTGACCAACAAGTTTAAGCTGCATCTATTTGTTTCAGTCATTTTCCCTTGTGCAAAGGGTTTTTATGTAAACTCAGTGGTTAGTTTCCCCCAGAGATACACGAGCTTGTGTAGTGGTTGGTAATTTATGGATGTAGTCAGGAATTACTCTGAAATCACAATATTATGGGGAAAGCTCTGTAACGATTGAACTGAGCTATAGTGACAAGAATTGGTAAAGAAGGGGACAATTGGAAGACCAAGGCAAGGAGGTAACTTGTTATTCTACCCATGTGTTTTAATAGTGCCAGAGTAAGTGAAACATTTTTATATTCAGTCTGTTTGGAGAAAAAAAAACAAACAGGTAATAGAGGATTTATTTACCATAATAGAAACATTTTTTTTTCAGTATGATTCATGCCTTCAAATCCTTTGGCTCCTGTTCAGCACTCCTGTCTTTTTTTTGGTCTTACATATTAAATGTGTTGTGCATGGCGTGGTTCAGCAAACTGCAAAGTCATCCAAAGGAGAACTGGAAACATATTTTTTTTTACTAAATTTGCTTTAAAGAGTTGACACATTTAGCAAATCTTTTGAACTAAGTCCTCTCTTAGTTCCTCTCTTGATTTCCTCTCTTAAAATTCTAAACAGTGGCCTTTCAACAATACATTTCTGTTCAAGTCCTCTCTTCTGCTAGCTGATAAATGTCTACAGTAGCATAGCAGTGTAGAGCACCAGAGCCTTGACAGTAGAGATTATTCAAGACCTCCTAAGCAGAATAGGAAATTCTAAAACTAACATGCTCATTCCTTACAAATTCCTATTAGCCTAAGAAGGAATGACCAGAGTTCAAACTCCTGTTGAAATGTCTAAAATCAAGGCCATTGATATTGATTTTTCTGCACTGAGAAACAGTTTAGATGTGAGAACAGTGTTCATGACACACCACAAAACAGACATTTAGGCACTTAAATCTTCCTGGGTAATGGAACTGGCATGCTGTGGCTACTAAAGCTTACACCCAGTTTTCACTTAGCATCAAACCCCAGATTTCCAGAAATACAGATCTGAATCAGATGTACCATCTTCCTGCCTTTGGCTGGATGGTCTAAAAATCTTATAGCAGAAGTACATAGGTGAGTCCTTTCTTTTTTTTCCAAAAAAAAAAAGGAGCCTTACACACACAAAATACACATGGAAAAGAGGGTATTTTCTACTACCTAAGATATAGTTATAAAATATGTAATACTATGTGTATTCTAGGAATATACATATGTATAAAAGTAAATATACTATGTATATTCACTTTAACAGAAATAAATCTGAATATAATTTTTTGCCTTTCTTATTTTAATTACCAGTTCCTCACTGGATTACTTTATGGATGTGCTTTTAGGGCTGGTGGGGTATTAAAAGATGTACCTATAAAGTCATAGAGCATTTACATACTTTAATGAACTGTGAGACCTAAGGCCAGTCAGAAACTATCAAACACACATGGAAAACAGATTTCTGTGACATTCCATGAGCGCAGATCTGATTGCTCACTTATAAAATTGAATATATCTAGATATATGTGTATATATATTATCATATATCTTCCTCTGAAAGTACTGTACCCTCTTAACTCTAGCTACATGGACAGCTGTCTTGTGGAGGAAATTTGTTCCCAGAACACCGCTAGCAAGCTTTGGAAAAGAGAACCCATAGTGAACTCAGACACAGGAAGAAGCTTTATTTCTTCATACAGCATAAGGTAACTTTAATATTTCATTTTACCCTGAAATCTCTTCTAAACAGTGGCCTTTCAACAATATATTTCTCTTCAAGTTTTATTTAATCTGAAATATTCATCTATATTTGGGAGGTCACTTACAAAAAGTCAAATATTGTACAGGGACAAGTGGAACAGCTGGAGTGGAAAGTGCCCGCATACAGGAGCTGCAGAAGGGGAGCACCACTGCAGTATTTTCTGGCATGATAATTAATTTCCTCGTTCTTTAGCAGAATTGTCAGATATGAGCCCTTAGATGCTGCAGGTATCCAAGCTTTCATATGCATTACATAAGCATCACAAAAATATGATTTTATGAATATGCCTTGTAGAATTCATGCCCTTCATTTGTGAATCTGAATCCTGTTTTCTACACATACTGAAGTTACAGTTGCTATTAATAGGCTTCTGTCACAGGGTCTCACTCTTCTTTAGAAAGTAATGGCAAACAGGAAGGAAAAGACCTCTGATTTTATTTTTTAGCAAATAACCCAGCTTTGCAGAACCAGCCTGCATTTTGCTCCCATGGCATCTTTGCTCTGCAGTGCTTTCCCCTGTGCTTTATTTCATCTGCCTGCATGGAGGTCTGTCTGGGTGATAGGCTCTGATATCCATAGGCCAGCACAGCTGAGCCCTACTATCATTTGCCACTACTTTAAGAAATACTGCTCCACACTCTTTTGTGTCTCTTTGCTGCATAACTTTCCCCTTTTCCTTAAAGATGCATAACCCAGATATGGTTTTGTGCTTATTGAAGATACAGAAAAGATTAATTCCCTCCTATTTTATTATTATTTTTTAATTCCCCACTGGTTTTTTTTTCAGGAATTCCTTTCTGTGGAACCCTTCTGGGAATTCCACATGTGTTCTAGGATCTTCCTAGTACAAAATCTTCCTAGAATTTCCCCAGAGCTTTTCTAGCTGTAGACCTTTTCTAGGATTTCACTGATCTAGGCTTTCTAGGAATTTTTTAAGAGCTTTTCAGATATTTCCCAATGGCTTTCCAAGAACTCATGGATCTGGTATTGCTGCCACGTTTACCTAGAATCCCTGCTATGTTACCTAAAACCCCAAGGAGACTTAGAGCGCTACTTGAGATGGCTACCTAAACCCTGTTCCTGGATATCTTCATCCCTTGATATGACTGCCTACAGCCTGTTCCAGCACACCTACATATTCTCTTACAGTTTTAGGGAACTTTCCCAAATATAATATGATGGAATGAATGCTAAAGAAAGTCCAAAAGATTTCCTACCAAGTACAGGGCTGATCCCTGTAAGAAGGATTTGTTTTTCTTAGTTTACTAGTTACTAAAACTGGGGAGGACAAAAAGCAAGGAGTATTGCCAGAAAGGAGAATCAAATCAGTTCAAAACTATGAGATGTCACAGGAGCTGACTTAAGAGCATCACACAGTGATGGAGCAACTTTATACTCATCATGCAGTGAGTATGGAGTTGCTGTTGATAAATAAAGTACTGAGAACAGACCTGTAGTCAGAGCAGAACCATAAGCACATCTGAAAGGATGAAAATGTCATAAGTTCAAAACACACAGGCTTTCCTTCACCTGTCACTCAGTATGTGACTTGAATGAAGAGCTTGCTCTTCACCCCTAATGTTCTCATATTTTATTGAAGATGCAATACTCCAAGAAGACTGAGTATAGTATCAAGCAATAGAAATAACACACAAAAGCACAGGAGAGGACTGAGATATAGAGACAGAATTGAAGATAAAACACAACCATATTAAGGTCACTGTATTAAAAAATAAGTAGACCTGATTTTCTTCTGCATCAGAGCTTCCTTATGCCACTTTGTCAGAATAATAGGGCCATGAAGTGTGCATAACTGTAATTACTCCTACTCCAAAGGTCTTTTAAGCTGACAGACTGGTATAAATGGAGCATTGTATAAATGAGAATGAGTTCAGTGTGGAGTAGATTGCACGTTCCTCTGAATTTCAAATGCATTCTAAAACTTTAAGTAAGGAAAGTGTCAGGTATATCTCCCTGTATGGAAACTATGAGTATTTCAGAGTCACTCTACATCTTTACTCCTCATACAGGTATGGCACAAAGGTGCTGAAAGTGCTGCAAAATTGTACTGTTAAAATTTTGCACCAACTGAGTTCAGCTGTGATTGCAAAAGAGACTCAGACTGTGATATTCTTCATGGTGCGTATTAATTCAGAGGAATGTCCCAAAATGCTAGAGGAAACTAAGAAAGGAGAAGCACAGTCCCAAAATAGTTAACCCTTTTTGTCTTGCAAAGGGTTTATAGCTAGCATTCCAATTGATTCATCCAACAGTTGTACTGAGATCAAAGGATGCTTTAATGAGAGATTCTCTGCAATTCCTTCCTAGACAGAAAGGCTGGCCTTCTGTGGCAGCAATTCTTAGGTGTCAGAAGGATCAGATGCCGTGTGGAGTATGTTCTCTGCTTACATAGTAAATAGATGGCCAGCCTAGAAAGAAGCTTTTAAAATCATAAAGATTTCTCTAGGGTAGGATGAGGTCAGAGGAGCTGGGGATGTAACGCAAGTTTCTAATGAGGAAATTGAAAGGCAGGTGAGAGAAACTACCTTTCAAGATTCTCCTTTATTATCTCCCTTTCTTCACTGAAATTCGTACCAGGACAAGACTCACACAACACTTTGACAATCTTGTAAGCCTGCTACAATATAAAATGTATTGCTCTGCTCAGGTGAATTGTACCTACTGTGTCTGTATAGGTTAATGAAATCTAATTCCCTACTCTTGATAAAACCCATTAAGGAGTGACCAGCTGCTTCATTTGGAAACCCAGCTTTGCTGTATCTCCCCTTCTCTCTCACCTGTCAATCAACAAGATTTCTTAGGGAAAGTTTTCCATTTATCATACTGTCTTCTGCAACCCTGCTGGTTTTGGATCACTTTGAGAAAGAATTGCTGTAAAATGCAATAATAAGAAATATCTCTGGGACCTCATTGTCTGTTCTGGGTTGGTTTGTTCTGTGAGCAGGGTCTCTAGAATGTATTTAATAAATTTAAACAAGATTATATCAATTTTGTACTATGTTGTTGGAAATACTTCCTGGCTAGCTAGACCTTTTGTAGCCTTACTGCCTTTTCAGTCTAAATATGAATGGCTGCCCTGGAGTCTTTAACTGCAAACTTTACATTATGAAAATATACCTGGGGCTTTGGGGTATACCCAGACCTCTGGTCAAATACAACCTTTTATGAGAAGAGTAAACTAGCTCTGATTAGTGTTTACAGAATTCTAGCTTGTGAAATGACTGCTGAGCCAAGATACACCCATCAAAATCATGGTTCTGCAGAGCACTTAGTCATGATCTTCAGTTCTTTACTGAAGTGGAGCCTGAGGCTGAGCAAGTTTTAAATGGAAACATAACCTTAACTGCCACATATAAATTGGTAACTTATATGGAGAAACTTTCATTATTATATTTTCATTCAGAAAACTCAGTGGAATTAGTCAGGAGCCATAAACCTGCCGTCATTGACAGGCCTAGAGGATAATCCCTGATTAGAAATGTCCTCCAAGGCACATCTTTTGGTATTAGCCTAATTTAAAAAAAGGAAGGTTTGTGCTACTGAGAAATGCATATTCTTAGCAACAAAAGTGAAATTGAATCACATCCTGCATTGAAGTCTGAAATCCGTACAGCCCAATTCTACAGTTGCCTTACCTAGTTAGAAATATACTATGCAATTGTGCTGTCTCAAAAAGCAGTGCTCATCTGCAAAATAGAGACAGTAGGAACAAGAACAGACACTTGAGAGTACTTCAGTGAGTAGGAAAGAAAAGGAAAGGAAGTGATAAAGAAAATCCAGTCACTGCTGCTCTTTCTGCTGGAGAAATGGGAGAAATAGTGATGCTATGATCTCTGACCTTTTATTAACAAGCTCGTCACTTCCAGAGGACAGTGATTCATTGCAGGGCACCTTATCTGCATTTGAACAGACTCACCCCCAAGGCATTCCTTTGTCATATACTGTAACTACAGATGGCAATAGATTCCCTGTACTAGTGGAAATAGGTTTATAAAGTTTAAAGCGCTACTTTATCCTATCTGCAATATGAAAGAACCTTTAATGAGATTTAGAAAATTATGGATAAAGCCTAGTTAGACTTTTGTAATAAAACATACATTGACATCTCTAACCAATGTGTATTGTTGCAGTGTAAGCCTATAGAGAAGAGAGGGTACCTTATTTGAATTACAAATTGGTAAAAGGAATATGTTACAGTATTTGAAGGTGGTACAAAGGCTGAAAGTTTCCACAAGAAAAGAAAGAATAAAATGTCTTTCTTGATCTTGCCAACTGTATTTTGCAAACCAAATTGAGGAAGAATTCCTGCTTTAAATCAAACATTGGACAGCCAATGAGAGGTAAGAAACATTCATTATAGAGAATGGATAAGTGGTTCCACTCTGATTACACTTTCAGTCAAAGTTTGGTAAGCCCTTACTGACCACGATTCTTTGAATTGTCCCAATGAGAAGTAATCACCATTCATTGCTGATTATAAATCTTCTCATGGCATGCTCAGTATCAGTATACAATCCTTTCACAGATAGCCAAAACAAATCATTGTGTCTGGATGGTTACAGTTGGAAGGGGAACTTTGAATCTTGCAAATATAAGATTGCTTTCTTTTGTGTCATTCATCTTATTCCTTAAATTCTGGATGACTGTCAGTCCTACCTATGCTGATTTATATTGCTTCAGAATGAAATGTTGGATATAAGCACAACTGCCCAGTGACCCTATCTGGAGTTAATAGCTTTGCTATTTCCTGATCCTGATTTACAAATAATCAGAATGTATATAAATTATGTAAATGCCATTGTGGTTTCTTCCTTAGTACAGGCTATTTTCCCTTTGTTCCTAGTCACAGCTGGTTAATTGTCACTATACAATCTGGATGGTTCACTTTAAACTATCCACACGTCATTAGGGTTTCTAGTAAAG